CCCGCAATCGCCACCCTGCAGGCTCGCCGCTGCTGAGACCTCCCCAAAATGGCTCCAGGTGCTGGGCCCCACCGGGTCTCTCTCCTTCTGAGAACACAACGCCCCCTTCCTGGAAGGGCTCTTGCGTGCGTGGCTTACTTGCCTTCTCTTCCAACAGGTGGCCTCCGCCCCTGTCCGGGGACCTGTGCCAATGACCCTGATAGTAGTTTCGCTTTCTCCTCTCTCCGCAACCTCGTCCACAGCGTGATGGGCAACCAGGTGGAGAAGCTCACCCACCTAAGTTACAAGGAAGTGCCCACGGCCGACCCGACAGGCGTGGACCGGGACGACGGGCCCCGCATCGGGGTCTCCTACATCTTCTCCAACGACGACGAGGACGCAGAGCCTCAGCCTCCGCCCCCGGGGCCCGAGGGCAGCGTGGCGCCCGCTGGAGGGAAAAAGACCGCAGCCTGCCGCCCCGCAGCCCTACGACCCGCGGCTGCAGGAGGTGGAATGCTCCGTGTTCTACCGGGACGAGTGCATCTACCAGAAGAGCTTCGCGCCCGGCTCAGCGGTGCTGAGCACCTACACGCCGGAGAACCTGCTCAACAGGTGCAGCCCCGGCGACCTGGTGGAGTTTGTGTCGCAGGCGCAGTACCCGCACTGGGCAGTGTACGTGGGCAACTTCCAGGTGGTGCACCTGCACCGGCTGGAGGTGAGCAACAGCTTCCTGACCGATGCGAGCCAGGGCCGCCGCGGCCGCGTGGTCAACGACCTGTACCGCTACAAGCCGCTGAGCCCGGGCGCAGTGGTGCGCAACGCGCTGGCGCACGTGGGCGCCAAGGAGCGAGAGCTCAGCTGGCGCAACTCGGAGAGCTTTGCCGCCTGGTGCCGCTATGGCAAGCGCGAGTTCAAGATCGGCGGCGAGCTGCGAATAGGCAAGCAGCCCTACCGCTTGCAGATTCAGCTCTCCGCCCAGCGCAGCCACACGCTGGAGTTCCAGAGCCTGGAGGACCTGATCATGGAGAAGCGGCGCAACGACCAGATCGGGCGCGCCGCCGTGCTGCAGGAGCTCGCTATGCACCTGCACCCGGCCGAGCCGGAGGAGGGCGACAGCGATGCAGCACGGACTACGCCGCCTCCCAGGAGCCCTCTGGAGCCTGGCTGCGTGGAGAAGGAGGAGGAGGAGGGGGAGGAAGGTGCGGATGTGGCGGCGCCCTGAAGGCTTTGGAGCTGGGCTCGGAGTTGCAGCAGCCGCTTTCCCCTTCCTCTTCTCCCTCCTGCCTCCTCGGAAAATGGAGAGTTGGTGAAATACGCCTTCAGCTGTGGCCAGGGGAGGAGGAAGGGGGCAGGGAGCAGGTAGGAGCACCTAAGCTGGCAGCCTTCCTTTCCACGGTGAGGCAAGCTGTAGGCTGGCTTGACAATTAATCCCTGCGGAGTCTGGATCCCAAATTGACCTTTATTCGAGCAAGAGCAAGGCTGGAGAAAAGTTCAGTGTTTGTACCTCACATTGTCCTGTCTAGCTTTGCTCTGCGCTTGAGTTCTGAGGATACCGTGTAGGAAGCCAGAGGGGGCTGGGAGGCCCCTTTGGGCGGTGCTGAGGGCTGTTTGTCTTCTTTCCTGCTGAGCTGGGCCTGCAGTCCATAAGGCTGGGGTGATTTATTGATGGGATTCTGGGCTTGCACGGCTGGGGAAGCCAGGACCAGTCTGGGATCAGCAGACCAAAAGCGGAGCAGCCCCCTATTATGTACAACAAATAGTTGAATGAACTGGCTATAAACACGAAGACTTGACTGCCTTCCTCTCTCCCTCCACTGCATCCCCTGTAATTCCTCTTCAGGATCCCACTTTTGGTGGAGTCTGCCCCATCTGCCCCTTCCCAGGTTATAAGTAAATCACTGTCAAGGGCCCGCTGGGGAGGATTCAATTAAGGTCCTGTGCTGCCGCCTTTGTTGTAGGCGCTTAGAGCTGTGCCATTTGTTATCAGAATAGGGGATTGCCCTTGTGTCTTCCATGTAATTAAACCTGCTTGGCCCAGCAGGGCACAGGTGGGTTTGGCCAGTGCCACCCCACGGAACCCCTAGGGAGACAGCCACATAGTGCTGCTCTGTTCTCTCTGTCCAGAATAGGGAAGGCCACCCTTTTTCGTGAACAAGACAATGGGTGGTGGTGATTCCTTTGAAGTTTTAGTTTTTCATTCTTTCTGGCCCATCTACCTGACCCTCACTTCCTCTGGTGGTAAAATCCAGAGCTTGAGATGTAACTTCCATGGAAACATGCTTATCATTTGGCCAGCCACACTTGCAGTTTAATTCAGGGTATAAAGTCTTGGTATAGTGGGTAGTCTCCTTGTTGCTCGGAGAATACTCCTTCAGTGCATGCGTAAGGGGTGACATGGGTCCCTCCCCTGCTACCTGGTGTGGTCAGCACAGATGCAGATGCTTTGGAATGGGGCTTTGCCCCCTCCTGTGGGTATGCCCATGATTCAGAGTGCAGCCTGGCTGCCCATTACCAGGCTTTCTGCCCCTCTTGGGAGTTATTGTGGACTGCACTGGAGAGTCCATTTTGTGACCTGATTTTTACAGTTGAAATAGAATTGTACTGGAGCAGTCTGCAGCATGGTTGTCTTGGTTGGAGAGTTCTAAAACAAGGCAACAAAACTTGAAAGATTTTCTTGTATATTTACTTTTTTACACATGGTAATTGTAGCCATAAGTTGTGGAAATCTAGATCTTTTGTAGTGATGTCCATAAAGGTGCTGTCTCTTTGGCTGTCAGGATGAGCTACATTCTAGCCTTGGTCGGAGACTTGGAAGAAAATGGATCTTCTGTTGGAAAGTAGATCTGGTTTCTCTAGTTCTGTGTGTTTTATGTTCCCCTGCCCAGGAGAAGGCAGGACAAGGTAAACATGGTAGGGGCATTTAGGAGGCCCTGCCCCAGCAGGTTGGTGTGAATGAAAGTTGAAAGTGCTGTGTGCTCTGTGGAGTAGGAGGGAGACTGGCCAGCTCTTTGTCCAGTTCCTGCATCCCTGAATTTTCCTCTGGTCCCTGAAGTCTGATCTCATTGAGTGACCGTGTGTTTCGACACAAGAGGTGCGCTTGGAATTCTGGGCCCAAGGAAGAGACCTAAGCGCCAACTCAAGAGTAGTATTTTATCTTTAGAGAAGAGGTTTTTGATAACAGGGCTTAAAAATGCACTAGATCTATTTCTATTGCTGATTTGTTGTGCACAATGGCAGTGTTTCTGCAAGGCAGCGAGAGATGCGGACTGTAATACTTAGGAGAGAGGCGCTTTCTTAGGTGTCTGATACATTAAATAAGGAATAACTGGAAAGGGCTCCAGGAAGGGGAATCAGAACAGTTCTTGGGTCTTTCCTTAAGATGGCAGTGTTGTGGAGAAGCGATACTCCTTTTTTTTTTTTTTTTTATACCCTGGCAATGGCTACATCTAGCACTTTAGGAAAAAGTGAGTATATTTAATAATTTTTGTTTCTCCTTAGGAATAAGACTTTAGAACAATTTTGTACTGTGAATTACGGATGCTCTTTGAAGGAAAGAAATATCGATTCCGACGCTCTTCAGAAGCTCTGGCAGGGATGAGCAGGATGTCGACTGGAATATATGCGAAAGGAGACAGACAGATTCTATTTTCTTACCGAGCAAATATTTTATTGAGACGCGTGTGTGTTTCAGAGGAGCCCACGACTTCAGCTACATGATTTTTTGTATTGAAAGAACTCATACTTTTTGTAGCTTTTATTCCTCATTTAATTTGAAATGACTTTGACACTAAATGCCTCTCAGAATACTTTATTCCAGACTTTAAGAAAAGTTTTAGTTTTTCGAAAAAAGTGACACTTCAGTGGTTAACCTTCTCCTACGTTTGGTGCTTTTGACCCTAATAGCTCCACTGGGCAACACCACAACCACATGAAAACATATTTTTTTGGAAGCAGAACTTTAATTTTTTATGACATAATCTATGGAAAGCTAAGAAAATTTAAGGACTACTTGTTTTGTATTTTTTTTCTTAAAAAAATGGAATCCACTGTGTTGAAGACTCTTGATAATTATGTGCTTATCTAACCATTTCTAAAATATATAAATTAGAATACAATCTAGTGTGATCATGGTCATAAAATAAATTTGTTTGGAAAGTTAGATTTCATTTGTGATTTTTAAAAAATCAGAATAACTATAAATGTGGCTGGTTTATTCATTGTTTTTTTTCTTGGCTGTAATACTTGTTACCCATGGAAAATTACACTAACTTGCAGGATAGATTTCAGTGCATTTTATTTCCCAATGAATTGTACAAACTTTATTTTTCTTGAAGGTTGTATGTTAAATCAGAGTTATGCTCTTCCACTTCTTGAGAAGGAAGTTCCAATTTGAAATTGTATCATTTCCTTCAAAATGAAGGGCAGTGCTTAGTTAAATAAAAGATTGATGATATCTTTTAAGCCATTTCCTCTTTACTTTGTCTTATTAAAATAAAACCTGCCAAGTTCTTTTGAAAAATGTCACACGGGTTTCCGATAAACCACCTTTTAGAGTTCACTGTACATTTTCTTCTACTTGTATTGTCTTTTTCTAACATTTTTTTCATCCCAGTTTAAGCTACTTAGCATAGTATAATTCCTCTGAGAATATTGGTGATATCATCTTTGCATTTCTCAGTAAACATTTTGATGAATTTTATTTAGTGGATAAAGAAACCTTGCATATATTGTGTGAACATTAATCATCCATTTCGCAAATTTCTGGGATACACAGATTGCGGAATTGTTACAAAAATCGATGGGAACCATACAGCTGTTACGGAATCTGCATGGGGAGTGCTGGTCTTCTTAACCCTTGTATATTAGGTGGTTTAGGCATCCCAACAAGGGAAACAGGATGTGCCACATAATTTATGGAAGTTGGACAAACCATGATGGGTGGCACTACTGGGTAACGATGCAGGGGCCAGCAGTTGGCAGAGGGATAGGTGTGGCATCTGAGTGGCTGGTGAGAGGCCACCAGCACTCCCTAGGTCAGCACCTTAAGTCACTTCTGTCACAGTTCTATGAGGTTCAAATGCCCAGGCTTTGTCAGCAGGTTTCTGTGAGAATTTCAGATACACAGGTTCAGGGCTGGGGCTGAGGGAGCTGTAGCAGCCATGAGGCCATTTCTTCCCAGGGTGGGAGTCTGAGTTCTCGGAATCCCTGTTGCACAGAAGGAGGGGGAGGGAACTAATAAAGAATGCATTTATTCTCGGGTAGTTTTGGTGGAGGCTGCTGTTCTTATTTTTCCTGAGTGGGCCGAGCTTTGCTTAATGTGGGTAAATGATAAGTTGGGAACCATTTAAAAGGCTGAAACGAATAGGCCAGAATATGTGCAAAAGGGCTTTTATTTCCTTTTACTGAATTCACTGTGGAAACTGCTTATTAAATACAGCAATTTCATCTGCAGTGGAAATGCAAAACTTTGCATTTGCGGTAGAGTGCTGCTTCTCTGAAGGGCCAGAGGACACCGCGCTCCAGAAACCAGAGACCCTGAAGGTTTGAGGATAGCATAGCGTGGCAGTTTGTCAACCATGGGCACATTGGGCAAGCCTGAGGCTGGCAGAAGGAAGGACACAATGAGATAAGCCGCATCAGGTGTTTTGGAGCAGGAAGCCTTGTTGAGAACGGGAGTGGCGGTCTGAGGTTGGACACTGCAGCAGGAGGGTGGCCTAGTAGCAGGTGCTGTGTGAGGCTCATGGCTTCTGCCAAGGGTGGCTCTGCCAGTCTTTCTCCCTGGTAGCTCTGGGGTAGTCTCAGGGAAGGACCTTTCCTTCCTAACTCCTGGCTTCATTTTTGTTAGGATTCATAACCCTGACCCCATCTGCATTCTGTTAACTTTTCCCATTTCACACTAGGAACTACAGCACAGAGGTTAAAAAAAAATCAGCTTCATGCTGTGTGGACAGATAATACCAGATGGCTTTGTAAAGTGCAGATACCCTGTAGGGGAGGACACAACTAAGTGGACGTGTGTTTAAGTAGACTTTGAAAACTGGCAGATAGGCACGGGGACAGCATGTAATGCCTTTGAGAAATCAGACAGACTCAAGCCAGAGCTAACACTGACTGAAGCAAATGATAGAAAGAAGTAAGGTGGCTAATACTCACTAGGTTCTTAGGTTCTTGGTACCTAATTCACAGAAGAGCCAGATTCATCGTTCTGAACCTCAAGTAGCTTCCATTCTAATAGGCAGGACAGATGACTGCCCACTGAAAGGAAGTTCACAAGTGGGATTTAAGTGCATTTGAGGTCGGCCCTTGCAACGGAGGAGTGGTGGACGTGTGTGAGAGAGGGTCTCTCCATCAGTATGCCAGAGAAAGCTTTCTGAGGAAGTTTTTAGTGCCGAGCCTTGGAAGAGGAGTAGGCGCTGATCGCATTAATCAGGAGGAGCCTGAGGAGGAAGTTGGTGACCCTCAAGCGCCAAATGCCTTTGCTTATCTCTGGTACCCTTCTGCTTCTCCCAGACTGCCTTCCACATTGCCCTGTTGTCCAATTTGTTTGTGTGTCTAACACAGAACTGGGCAGAGACCTTCGCTGTAGATAAACTGAATGGATCTTGTCATCTTTACAGACTGGAAAGCCCTCAGTATCTCTGGGAGCAGAGCAGGGCTATTAGGATGCCTACCCCAGACAGCGCTCCTTTCCTGGGACAGGAGTTTGTCTTGCTAATGCTGTGGGGCCTTAAATTGACAGTTATGTTTGAAAGTAGAGAGTAGTTTCAGGCCTTTTCCGGATGCAGGTGAGTGGCACTGGCCAGGCTGTTTGGAAAGAGTAGTAAAACAGAGCAGGAACATTTACAGCCAGTCCAGTGCCTTGTGGAGTGAGGCCGTAAATGGTTCCAAAGATGAACTCTCTGCTATTTCCTTTGGGAAAGCAAAGTAGTTAACTCCAAGTCTGATCATCTTGCTATTCACGCACTCTTTACTCTGTAACTTAGAGGGTCTCCATTGAAGTGTGCTAAACTAAAGGCAAAGAGTGTGTTCCAGGCACAGATGTGGGTACCTCAAGGCTTTGTAGTCAAAGGACCTGGGTTTCTGAGCGCAGCCTTTGTGTACAGTTAGGCTGGGACCTTGGGGAAAGACTTGGACACTATTTCCTCTTGTGTACAGTGGGCTTGTGACATTTCTCTGTTCCCTTAACTCTTGGAATTTCAGTTGTATTTGTAAAACAATGCTATCTATATAAGCATTTAATTATTAATTTAATATTAGCAATATTAATAGATTGACATAAACATGAATATGTAACAATACACTCGAGATTATATCTGCCTTAAATTTTGTGAGGACAAGGGAAATAATGCTTTTGAGGCCTGGACCAACAGCTACTAAGATTAGCTAGGGAAATATATGATGTCACCTGTGTTCAAAAGGCGCATTCAAATGAAATTCCTGTGGGGAAGAGAGAGATCTGCCTTCCCTTAGTCCTTAGTCTTGAGGAATTTCTTAGCTAGCTGTGAGAAATAGCTGCAATGCAAAAATGGTAGCTAGCTCATTCCTCAGTTATTTAGCAGGTGCCAGCCACAGTCTTGAGCCTTGATCTTTAATAGATGAACTGTTTACTGCATTTCACTTCGTATCATGCCTACTCATCGACTCAGTACCTTTTTACTGAGAATTCTTGAGACCCCGGGAAGGAGGAGATGTTGCAGCAGTTAACAACCAGGAGCATTGTCACCCTCACTGACCCATTGTAATCATGACTGAAGACTTAGGGGCAGATCCTAATACTATCTTTATTTTGTAGTTGAGTGGGTTTAGGGAAATTGATTGGTCCAGTGTCACATAAGTGGGTTTCTGGCCTGAAACAGTGACACTGTTCCCCAAAGCCCCAGGCTGCTGTCCCTGCCTGGAAAGATGGCCTGACCACGTCTATACCCCCTCCTCACTCTAGAGGAAACACAGGGCTCTCTCCAGCTCCAGCATTGATTTGCAACATTATCCGAGTAGCGAGTAGCGTCTGTATATATTTTCACTTTACTAAAGCAAGCCTGAGGCGAAACTCTAGAAGGCAAGGGACAGGAGGAAATGGAAAGGCACCTCTGGCCAGGAAGGGGTTTACATTCTTATCAGGAGCAACATAGCTGGCCTGGGTTTGGGGGGAGTCCATTAGGGACTGTGTCCTTGCTAGGCGGAGCACCAGGATCCCTTCTGTGCTGCCCGCTTCTGTCTGCTTTCTTGAGACTTCCTTTCTCCCTGGAGCCAGAGGCCTGCTCAATGCCTCGGTTCCAACTGTTGTCCCTCTACACCCTGTGCATAAATCAGTGCCTTCCTTCAGCACCTTGTCGAGGTGCCACCTCCTCCACAGAGCTGTTCTTTGCCTAACTTGAGGTGATAAAAGTCCGATGCACAACAGGGCACCTAGGAGTGACTTGGCTTTGAGTCCACCACAGTGGCTTTGTACTGAATGTTCTCAGAAAGCTTGAGCGCCCTGGGCTCCGCAGGTGCCCTGCCCCTGTCTGTGATGGGCTTCCAGGCGCAGTTGCACCCAGCAGGACATAGGTGATGCTTGTTAGTCTAGATTGGTTTTAAAGAATACTGGTTCCTTCATTCTTGTAAAAAAATGAATATTAATTATAAAATTATGTAATTAATTTTATTAAATTAACTATAAAGTAAATGTAACTAATTTCTTATAAAATTATATGTAAGTTATAGAATTAACCATTTGAATAACTGAATTTCAGGAAATACTTTTCTTATAAAAAGTAGGTGTTATAACACAAAACCGTTTGGTTGTTTTTGAACTGGCAAACTTTATTATTCTATTGACTATTAGAAACCAAATCTGCAGTGCTGATGGGAAAAAAGATGCCAACAGGACTAATTCTTGAGGGTCTTCATTTTGGAAAAAAGCATTTCAAGGTTTTGTTTGTTGTGTGATGGTCAACACTAATTTTTCTTTTCCATAACGTGTATCATCCTCTGCTACCTGAACCTACTCTGCCCCTGGGAGAATCTTCTGGACACACGTGCTCTATTCTTCTAAGGACCCCCCCGCCCCATTTTGGGTCATGTTTCAGAAAGAACCAAGCTTGTTTATGAAATATTAAATGGCAATGGTTCTTGGTACTAACATATGTTTTTGTGCTTGTGAGGCAGGCGCCGGAACCACTGAGCTAAATCCCCAGCCC